GATAGATGCATTGCTAGCTAGCTAGCTAGCAATGCATCTATCTATCTATCTGCATATCTATCTGTCTACCTACCTGTTTAGCTAGCTGCTTGACTCCTTAGCTATCTAGCTGTTTATCTAGCTAGCTAGCTAGTTAGCTAGCTAACTAGCTAGCTGTTTAGCTAGCTAGCTAGCTAGCTAAACAGCTAGTCGTTTGTCTGTCTGTTTGTTTGTTCTTTGCTTTTTGTCTTTGTTTGTGTTTAGGTGTATGCACAGAGGGGTAGAGGATTAAAGACTTACTGTTTTGTCTGATATTATTTTTATTAGAGGCTTGTAAATAACTTTGTCTTGAAATAAAGTCACCAAACGCAGCGACTTCTTTAGCAGGATCTACATAAGCAGCAATTTGCTGCACTTGAAACTTTTCAATAGGTATTTTAGTTGCTGTTGCTGCTGCTGCTGCAGTTGCTGCTGCTCCTGCTGCTCCACCTGCTGCTGCTGCTGCTGCTCCTGTATGAAGCAGCAGCACTCGTCTATTGCTTTCTTTATTTGCTCTAAATAATAATTGTAATAAAGATACTGCATGCCACACCTTATCACAAATCCTATATCTCTCTCCTGCAGCTGACAAACAAAACCCTAAAAAACAAACTGCCGGAGACACCAGAGCCGTCCTGTATACACAGCAACACGCAATATAACTACAAATATATATAATATATCTTATTTATTTATTTATTTATTTGTTTAATTTATTTATTTATAATGTGTTTAATGTATTAGACAGAGACAGAGACAGAGAAAGAGAAAGAGACAAAAGAAGAAACAAAAGGAGACAGATAGAGAGACAAAAGGAGACAGATAAATATACAAAAAGAGACAGATAAAGAGACAGATAAAGAGACAGATAAAGAGACAGATAAAGAGACAGATAAAGAGACAGATAAAGAGACAGAGAAGAGACAGAGATGAAGACAAAAGACGAGACAGAAGGAGACAGACAAAGAGACAAAAGGAGACAGACAAAGAGACGAAAAGAGACAGATAAAAAGCAAGTGTCTCCTTACTCAAATAAAGAGTCTGGGAACTCCATAGCGAGACGCAAGAAGCTCCTCTTCCCCTCAGGAGGAAGGTGAAACAGCAGATGCAGAACAGCAGAGTAAAGCATCTCTCCCTGCTGCAGCAGCTGCTGCTTCTGCTGCTGCTGCTGCCGCTGCTGCTGTGTTTGTGCAGCATCTGAAGAGGCGTTGGGATCGGATCCCCTTGTGTCTCCTTGTGGGGGGGTGTGTGGGGTATGTTGCATTGCCGCTCCTTGCTCCCCCTGCTGCCGCTGCTGCTGCTGCTGCTGCTGCTGCTGCTGCTGCTGCTGCTGCTGCTGTTGCTGCTGGCAGAAGCCTTGATAAAGGGGTGTGCATGCAAGAACAACGAAGATAAATTTTACTTGATCTGGCCGCTTAAGAAACTCTACCATCTTGACAACAGTTCGAATAAGAGAAGAAAATGCAGTAAAAACAATAGGAAGGGCTTCTTGAGGGAGCTGCCTATACACCGCAGCTAAACCCTCAAAGTCTGGGAGACTTCCTTGTCCGGGATAACAGAAAGATGCATTTAAACGATAAACATCTCTAAATACAATTAAAACAATATTCTTTAGGGGCTCAATGTCGCCAGTGCTGCGTGCTCCCTCAATATAGCGCAGCAACTCCTCTGCAGATACACCTGCTAGGCTTGAAGCTGCTGCTGCTGCTGCTGCTGCTGCCGCTGCTGCTGCTGCTGCTGCTGCTGTTGCTGGGGTCTCCTGGAAGCTGCTCTCTCGTCTTAACAAACCCCCCCATTCAAATCCCGTTAGGTTGCTGTCTCCTCGAGTGAGAGATAGAAGGTGCTGCACATTGTTGTTTGGTGCAGCAGCAGCTGCAGCAGCAGGGGAAGCAGCAGCAGCAGCAGCAGCTGCTGCTGCTGCTGTCAGAGAAAGAGAAGCAGACAGCTTCCGCTGCTCCCAGCCAACAGAAGATCTTGACCTACAAAAAACTCTCTTACGAATTAAAGAAGCATTAACTAAAGCTGCATCTGTTGCATCTGCTGCTGCTTGCGGTGTCTGTACAGCAGCAGCAAACCCTGTAAACGGACCTGCAGCAATCAAATAAAAAAACTGCTGCTGCTGCTGCTGCTGCTGCTGCTGCTGCTGGGGAGGCAGCCAAAGCTCAAGAGGTTCAAAGGTAAAAGGTTTAGGGGGTGCGTAATTGTCTCCTAGAAAAGGAGACAGCGGGAGACGTAGGTGCGGAGACACCCCAAGCTGATTTAAATCGTTTACACCCCACGAATACACGCGACCCTGCACACATTCATCATAACCCTAAACCCTAAACCCTAAACCCTAAACCCTAAACCCTAAACCCTAAACCCTAAACCCTATAACCCTAAAGAACCCTAAACCCTAAACCCTAAACCCTAAACCCTAAACCCTAAACCCTAAACCCTAAACCCTAATACCTTAAACCCTAAACCCTAAACCCTAAACCATAAACCATAAAAAGATCGGAAGAGCGTCGTGTAGGGAAAGAGTGTAGATCTCGGTGGTCGCCGTATCATTAAAATACCTTAAACCCTAAACCCTAAACCCTAAACCATAAACCATAAAAAGATCGGAAGAGCGTCGTGTAGGGAAAGAGTGTAGATCTCGGTGGTCGCCGACCCTAAACCCTAAACCCTAAACCCTAAACCCTAAACCCTAAACCCTAAACCCTAAACGGTAGAAGAGACAGGGACAAGAAACAAGAAGCACTCAAAAAGAAATTCTAAACCCTACACCAGAAACCCTAAACCCTATACAACCATAGACATAAATAAATAAATAAATATATATTTATATTATTTATTTAATTATTTATTTATTTATTTATTTAATAATTAAGATAAATTAACTTAAATATAACAGGGAGTTAAAATTACAGTGTTGGTTAGAGCGAGAGAGAAGTGCGTCCCGAGAGCAGCAATTTTTATTTTTAAATGCTGCAGAGGCTGCACTAAAATAAAGCGAGAGCTGCAGCACATTGCAGGTCTTCCTTTGCTGCTGCTGCTGCTGCTGCTGCTGCTGCTGCTGCTGCTGCTGCTCTTGC